TCAGTCTATCCCTTCGCACCCTCCACCCCCCTAGAACTTCTTAATGACCATTTTTGTTGAAAGTGGTAGGCCAAGTAATTTACATGAAGTACATGGATTGGAAGTGTAACGTGAAAAAAAGAATGTTTTTAATGCTGTAGAATATTCTAGGTGACTGTGCCCGTTTAGCTATGTCCCCAGCAATGGCCATTTAGTTGTTTCTAGCCTTTGCTCTTCAAGTTAACACTAAAATGAGCTTCTTCACGTGTGAGGCTTGGTATCTTTCGCTTTATGTCTTTGGATGAGTTCTCAGAACAGGAGTGATTAGATCAGTAATAATTGCTAACATAGTGACAGCTGCACAGCAAGCATGGTTCTCAGCACTTGGTTGGTCCTCATAACAGCCCCATGTGCTAGGTACCATTTCTATGCCCATTGTACAGATGAGGAAACTGAGGTACATAGAGGTTGAATAATTGCTAAAGAAGGTGTGGAGCTGGGATTTGGATGTTCCCAGGCATGTGCTCTTAGCCACTTTGCTGTGCTTCAGGCCTACTTGGCCATCCCATGGGTGGCTCATTTCTCTAGTTCCTGAGGGACCTGACATGAGGCTCTCTCCTGCCATCTGTCAGGCTCTGTGTGGAAGCCATTCTATGGCATCCCCACTGCCCTGGATGTACATTCCTCATGGCTGTGAAGTCTGGAATGCCCTGTGGCATCTCATGGAGAAAGATGTGGCTCTGGACCTTGTGTCCACTCTTGAAGCAGGATGTACAGGTAGAAACGGCTCTGTTTGCAGGTGGGGATGAGGAGTCAAGGGCAAAAGCTCTGATTAGCCTCTGGTTGGAGGTTCCCATGGCAAAGCTTGTAGAACCTAGACTGCTTCTTAGGGAAATGTCACGAACTATCGCAGTAACGCCCATTAATTGATTCTTTCTGCGCTCAGCCACTTACCAGTTAGTTGACTTTGGGCAAAGGTACTTCATGTCTCTGTACCTCAATGTCCTCATTTGTAAAATGGACATACTACTACTACCTGTTAGGGTTGTTGTGAGGATTAAAGGAGATACTATTATAGACAAAAGGCCTAGAACAGGGTTTTGACTCTAGTAAGCACTTAAGAAATGCCAGTGGGATACCTGCCTTGGACCTCATTTTTTCTGCATACCAGCCTGTGCATAATTTTTATCATTACGTGCATTATTTCATTTAATAGACTCAACAGCCCTGTGAAGTATATAATGTTTTAGTTCCCATTTCACAGATGGGGAAACTGAGGCTGAGAGGGCCTCAAGATTATATAGTTAGTAAGGAGCAGAGTGAGGATTTGAACCCACATGTCTGAGGCCCCATGCTTTGAGGAGCAGTTTAATGGACTTGTAAAAACCCCTCTTCTCATTTCCTTGAGTGGGCGGGGGGGGGGGAGCTGGTGATCTAAACAGGTTGACAGTTTCAGAGGTTTCCCTATTCATATTTGCTTGCTGTGTGATGGTTCACTTTTCCATGCATTCATGCCTGGCAAATAGCCAGCATTAAAGCAGATTCACTGAAGAGAAACTTTGTCCTAAAGTTCTGTCTTGTTTCTGCCAGTGCAGAGACCATCTTTTAATGAATCTCATGGACGAGTGCCTCAGTTAGTCTTGCACAGTGTCGGTGTCCTGCAGGAGTCTAGTTAGGGGACCACTGGCCTAGGGGAAGTTACTGGTGAGGCTTGAGGATGGCCAGAGATGGTGATGAGCTTGAACTTCTGGGAGGCTGTTGAACGTGGGCACTGAGAACTTCAGAGGTGGCGATCGTGGCTTAGTATGAAATATCCTTTATTTGTTGAGAAAATCCTAGGCTCTGACAGAGCCCAGTCCCCATCCCCACTCCCCGGCTCCCTCACTCGCAATGCCAGCCCTTCACCAGCAGATGGCACTGTAACCTCAGGCTAAAGCCTCTCTCTCTACTGAGAAGAACCAAAAATGTGCCAGAAAATGCAGCCGCCTCCCTCTGCTCATGTTGCCTGGCCTGACCTTTTCCTTCTTGTTTTCCTTGAAAGCCTCAGAGAACCGTGAAAGCTCTGTATGACTACAAAGCCAAACGCAGCGATGAGCTGAGCTTCTGCCGTGGCGCCCTCATTCACAACGTCTCCAAGGAGCCCGGGGGCTGGTAAGACTGAGGCGGGCTGGGCCCCTGGGTAGATGAACTTGACCTGTCTCTTTTTGGTGGTGAGACTCGAGTGCTGGTTGAGCTCTGACCCTCTTATCTGCTGCTCTGGGCTGGCTCTGACCTGTCAAACTTTCTCTTGGAAGGTGACTTCATGAAGGCTCTGTTTGGAAAAGTGGATAAACAGCAATAATAGTTATTATATCATTTATTATACCATCACATCATATTATGTATCATTTTAATGACAGTAGCAGCTGCCATTTCTTGAGGTCTTACTGTGTGCCAAGCACTATGCTTATTGCTTTCATACATTATCTAATCAAATCCTTATTACAACCCTGCAGAGTTTGGACTGTGATTATCCCCACTCTATAGATGCAGTGAATGAGGCTTTCCAGGGTCCGGCTTCTACATGACACAGGCTCTTCCCATTATGCCAGCCTTTGCATTATTTTAAATTCAAATTCCTATGCCATTGCTTAGTCCTGTGTCCTGTGCAGTGGCCCCATCTTGGATTGAAGAGGGTACATTTTTAGGCTAAAGGCACCTAGGTGTGTGAGGGTTGAGTTACCTCTTCCCCTTTTTCACCTGAGAGGAAAAATTGCCCATCCTTAGGTCCCTCAGCACGTGGTTTCATGGCATGATTCCTACCTTAGAGCAGTAAGGACTTGTTCATAACCATGAGCACTGGCAGAGCCTCAAGCACCTCACAAAACTGGCATTTCTTCCCCTCGCAAGATAGCTGGACCTGACTTAGAAAGCTGAATAGCAGCTCACATGGAGCAATGTAAGCACTGATTTAAGCACTTCATTTGAAATAATTCATTTAACCCACATAATGACCCTATAAGGTAGGTTCTGTTCATACCTGCATTTTACAGATGAGGACACCGAGACACAGAGAAGTGCAGTAATTTGTCAAGGGCCACGCAGCAGGCTGGAGATTTGAGTCTTCTAAACTCAAGAACTCACACTTTACCTCACTCATGTGTTAGAGCCAGAGGTTTTCAAAGTTTTGTGTATGTGTGTTTGTTTTTAATTTGGAAAACCTCCTCTTTCCAACCCCATTCTTACCTGGATCCCCAGAGGATCTTGTCTCGAGATGAATTAAGAGACTGGCATAAGTGCCTTTAGTGAGGCACTCTGGGTAAACCTTATGCCCAGCTGAGGTCCTCTCATTTTTTTATTCTC